TAAATAGGGACAGTAGGACAGGGATGGTAGGCATGCTGGTGCACTTATGCACGCCCCCTTACAGACCTCTTAGGAATGGGCTGAGGTCCACAGTAGACAATTTAAGGTTGAAGGTATGGGTGGGGTTGAGGATGTAACAGCGGAGTCAAGTAGAGCATTCCAGGCATTGACCACTCTGTTGCTGAAGTCATGTTTTCTGCAATCGAGTTTGGAGCAGTTGACCTTGAGTTTGTATCTATTGTTTGCTCGTATATTATTGTGGTTGAAGCTAAAGTAGTCGTTGACAATTAGGATATTGTAGCAGACAATATTGTGTACCACGCTTAGGTCAGATCTTAATCAGCGTAGTTCTAGGTTGCCCAAGCCCAAAATGTCAAGCCATGTGGCTAGTTAGGACATTATAGAAACAACAACTGAGTATGGGGACTGCATGACGTTTCAAAAAGGAAAGAAGCAAAAGTTGGACTGTGTTTTATTCTTTTGTTTGTCAAGATGGACCTAGAAAGCTTTCATTTCATGGCATAGTAGTAGCCAAGGAAGATAATCCTGACAGATGTAAAAACATTTGTGTACAAAAAAGCCAATGACGCATGCAAGGCTCAGGATTCAGATGGTGTCAGGCAGAAATAAGCCTGCGTTTGGAAAAGAAACAGAAAGAAAGAAGCCTACAAGATTTTTCCAAGAACGGATTTTAATCAGGGAAGGTTCAGCGGATGGGTAAACACAGCGACGATTTGAATCAGGAAGTGGGCTGAGATTCTTTCCCCTGTTTGGTTTCCGTGTTGCATGATAAGGGAGCAGATTTCCGGATTATACTAAACTGAGACTGAGATGCTTACCCTTTACCTTGAAGGATTGCCTCCGTTTAAAGAAGATAAGGGTTACTTCAGAACAGGAGCCATAAAAAGGGAATTGATTGAAGCAGCAACCACCCTACAAAAGTCATTCAGACAACCTGCCCAGCTCTTATAATAGGGTTCTCAAACCTGTCTCCCTACCTCTTGACTAGTTTGCATTTGTATTTATTTTATATTTATTAGTTTGTCAAACATGTACAAGAGAGCAGGTATAAATATAAACATGAATATGAATGAAAGAAATGAATACAACTAAATGGGGACAGTAGGACAGGGACAGTAGCAGTGGTGGGATTCAGCCAATTCACACCTATTCGGGAGAACCAGTTGGTAACTTTCTAAGTAGTTCAGAGATCCAGTTGTTTGAAGAAATCTCCTTTTGTTTTTTTCCCGCTTTACAGGGCTAATCCTGTAAGGATGGCAGGAAGGAAAC